GGACCTCCTCCTTGGCAATCCGCTCGACCAGCGCTGGCTGCCCGAACGGAAGCCTGCCTTGACACGCGCGACTCCGGCCTCCCGTGCAGCTGCATCCTGCCGCAATCGTCCCTGGGACTTGGCAGCAGCCGCACCTCGCACTTGTCAACCTCCTCGGAGACTCGAAGACTCTGGACTGCTGAGACTACCAGACGAGTTTGGCCCAGCGCATGGTACATGCATCAGATATGGAACAGCTGTGGGCGAGAATACTCGAGGAAACTTCGCCGTCTTGAGCCCAAGTGTTGACTGAGGCAGACGCCAATTCGATCCGTGAGTCACAACCTCATGCCACTTGGCATTCGGCCCGAGATCTATTCTGAGATGACCGCAACGGGAACGTTCTAGAAGGTAAACATTATCGCTTACCGTCTTGAAACTGATTGTCCCCTTCTCGAAATCAACTGTAACTCCGAAATGCGTCAGGAAATCCATGCCAATCAGAAGCGGTGCTTCCACATCCACAACAGAAACTAGGAAATCACACTCTTGGGAATCAACATATCCAGGTAGGGATGCGTGGTTCAGGGATTTATCTTTCTGGTCATTCCCGAACGTAAACTCAATGAGGGGTCCTGGCAAACTTTCATCCGATTGTGTCCAATCAGTCTCATCATAGACAGTTGCCAGGCCTCCGCTTGCTCTAGTCCTATTATCGACGACGTCGCACCAGAGTCTTGGATGCCCATTGAAGGTTCCCGAGAGCTGAGTGGCCAGAAAGATTATAGGCTTACGCCACATCCGCCGACCCCTATATAAACTACTGCGCCTCCAGGACTGCATTTCACGAGGCTTGTCCGAATCATGACACGGCGCTCGACATCGTTCTTGTTGCTTCGTTGTTGTTATCGTACCTCTTGGTGCTCTTTTGTGGCCTTCTGGTTGCATCTTGGCCTGTCTGCAGGTCATATCCGGCCGCCTCGAGGCATCTTGGGCCAAATTTTGGGCTTCTTGGGGGCTTCCTGGGGGCTTCTTGGAGGCCTTTGAGGTTCTCTTGGGGGTCCCTCAGTGCCTCGTGGGCTGTTCTTGGGGCAGGCTGGGGGCGTCTTGGGGCCGAAGGCTCGAAAAGGTGCTCGCTGGGCTCCGTCTTGGAGCCGTCTGGGGGCCCTCTTGGGCTGTCTTGGGGGCTTCGGGGGCTGTTGTTGGACCCTCTTCGACCCTTCTTGGGTTGGCTGCTGTTTCTTCCTTTTAGGACTCTAAGCCTTTGAAAACGACGTGCGGACACAAGGTGGCAGTGTGGGGCATGATTGGCGGCACTTGAGAGACCATGCCGAAAACTCGAAAACTCATGTTGGGATTCAATGGCCATTATCAAAACTAAGACCACCGAGCGCAGACCATTAACAAAATAAGGCCGCGACTGGCGCACCATAGACGAAATATGGGACAGCGACAGAAGCACCCGCCAACCCATTGGGACGCAGCACGCCGACCATGCGCCGCCCCCTCCCTCAACCCATCAACGACCATCCCCGACCGCCACAACTACACCACCATAAACACAAGTCACTACTACTCGCAATATAGATGACCTGGAACACCCATCAGGAAACATTGTCAGCATCGTCGTCGCCGCCATCCATTGTCAATCGCAGAGTTGCCTCTGCACAATGCCATAATGAATATGTCACCCACTATTGGCTATGCAATCCAATGGTCGTCATCGCAAATGCTTGCAACCAGATCCATCTATCAACACCGCTCCAAAAAAAACAATAACATCGGACAATTATGTGCATATTAATGCATTCCATCTTCGTATTTCTCATCGTGTCACCCATGCTATGTTATTATATGTGCTGATACGGTGTGCTATACTATGCTATGATATGATGTGCTATGATGCATCCTTTGTGTCATCATGTCATGTTGTGAGATGTTATGATATACCCATATTGTCACTATGCTATGTTATGTTAGGCTATGCAAAATCTATGTTATGCCATCTCCAAGCTTGCCACCATGCGATGCTATGACATGATATGATATGATACGGTTTGATATGCTACTATACTGTATAAGTTGATGCCATTCGTTATTATGTAACATATATATGTATGTATATTCATATGGTATCCTGCTATATTGCATTATGATATGTTATATCACGTTATAGCATCAAGTACCTAATGTTATCTTAAGTACCGAGGCGGCAACTACGCGGCAATAAGGCATCGCTCGTTGCGGCACTACGCCGGCAACAACGCGTTACTAACATGCGCTGGCGCGCGGCAATGTGGCGGCACTTAGCCGGCAGTAAGGCGGGCCTAAGACGCTACTTAGCGCGGCACTAACGCCGGCACTAACGCCGGCAGTAAGCCGGCATTTAGGCGGCACTTAGGCGGCACTAAGGCTGCCCCCAAGGGCATCCTTCAAATGATGCCGAGGGGGCTGCGGGCACTTAGGCGGCACTTAGGCGGCACGGAGGCCCCGCGAGGCCATAGGTTTTAAATAATGGTGCGGCACTAAGCCGGCACTAAGCCATCCCCAAAAGGAGGTCTTCCCCCAAGATCTGATTTTGGAGTTCTTGGGATCCCCCAGGGGGTCTCAAGGATGGTGCGGCAGCAGTGCGGCAGCTGATGCTGCACTAAGCCGGCACTGTTGCGGCACTTATGTTGGCCTCGATGCGGCACTAAGCCGGTACCAACGCGGCAGTGTAGGGGGGCTAGGTGCGGCACTAAGGGGGGGGGGTAGGTGCGGCACTTATGTTGGCCCCCAAGACCCTGGAAGGCCCCTGTTGTTAGATGAGGCTATGATAGCTACGATCGATGATGTATGACAACGTACGATAACCAAGAAGACAACAACAAGTAACACGCAATCGTGAGGGCCCAAGGGCCCTTCTGAGGCCTTAGGCCTTAGGCCCTCAGGGGGCCAGCCAGAGGGAGAGGGCCGGCCGCCGCCGGCCGCCAGTCGGGCGGCGCCGGCGGCGGCCGGCCTTCTCCCTCGAGTTGGCGGAGCGGCTGGACCCCGGGGACTCCGAGTCGGGCCGCGAGAAGACCGACGGCGAGGGCGGCCAGGGCGAGGTCGAGGCCCTCGAGGCCCTCGAGGCCGCCGAGAAGGAGGCCCTTAGTGCCGCAAGGCCCCCGACCATACCCAAAACTACCATACCCAAGACTCGAAAACTCAAGTTGCCCTGGGGCCACCATCCCCGAAACTCGGGCCGAGTTTCGGGGGTGGTGCGGCTACTTGTTAGGGCGAGCGGCCTACAGGCGGCCAACTTTTTAGGCAGAGCCCTACAATGGAAAACAAGACAGAAGCCACTTTTTAGGGCAGTCACAAGCTTGGAGGCCGATAGTTGGCGAGGGGACAGGTGCCCAGGGGGACAGGCCGCCGGGACGAACCGGGAGGAAGAGGGATGAGGAGGAGGAGGAGGAGGAGGATGAGGAGGAGGGAGCAGGAGGAGGAGGAGGAGGAGGAGGAGGAGGAGGGGAAGGGAGGAGGAGGACGAGGGGGGGAGGAGGAGGGATGAAGGGGGGGGAGGAGGAGGAGAAGGAGGAGGAGGATGAGGAGGAGGAGGAGGAGGGAGGAGGAGGAGGGAGGAGGAGGAGGAGGAGGAGGAGAGGAGGGAGGAGGAGGAGGAGGAGGAGGAGAGAGGAGGAGGAGGAGAGGAGGAGGAGGAGGAGGAGGAGGAGGAGGAGGAGGAGGAGCAGGACCAGGAGCAGGAGCAGGACCAGGAACAGGAGCAGGGGGAGGAGGATGGAAGTGTTCGGACGGTTTTGGATCTTCCTCCGGGGACCCCCTGGTCCCCGTCGGCAGTGCGCACGGGCGAAGGGGGCGGCCTTCTAAGGAGGCAGTGGGCTTATGAGACGCTTGGCGTCGCCCGGACGTGTGCATTTTTCTTGGCGGAGCTGGCAATGGACGTCCGTGCGATGGCAAGGACGGGCTCGGTCCCTCCAAGCCATACGCCCCGTGTCCTCAATAGGCTGGGGGACGTGTCCGAAGGCAGCCTTCCGCCCGCCTTGCCCTCCTGTGCGCGCCGTCAACTACTCCTTATCCCTCCATCCTCCAGCTTCTTCTCTTCCTCCGTGCCCATCCCCGCTTCTTATCCGCCGCCTGCACATCCGCCTCTGCCTCGAAGAGCCTTCTATTGGCCATCGACGTTGTCATGATTCTCGATCTCTCTTTGGCCGACGGGATGCCTCTGCTCCGACCGTCGCTTGGGCGACTCCAGCACATCTCTGCGACCCTCCTTGGATAGGGGCCGAGGCTGGACCGCAGGGAACAGGAGATGGTTATGCCCCTTCTGGCGCCGTGGCTCCGATTTCTACCTCTGGCGGGAGGCGGAAGAGGTCGCCATCCGGGGTGCGGCAGTGATCAAAACCCGCCAGACGAAGGGGCGACCTGACCAGCAGACGTTCTGACGAGAGGCGGGCGTGACCGGCGCCCCCGCGCCCAGCCCGGAGCTGGCCGCCTTCCTTCAGCAGGAGTCGCAGTAGCGTGTCGCTCGAGGGCTCTGACAGTTGTAAAGATCCGATGTGATACATTTTTCAGTACGGGGTCCCAAGAAGTCTGGACCCATTCCCCATGGCTGGCTCTTGGTCCAGCAGCCGTTTCGCCCGAGACTTCTCGCAGTTTACCCTCAGGATTCATGCTCTCGTCTCAATGCCCGAACGGCCACGATCCCTTGCAACGGATACTTTGAGGGGCACATGGCCGTGCTCCCTCCCCTGTCCCAGTTTCGCCAGCCGACCTCCCACTCCTGGACCCGCCTCCTCACCTTTGCAGCTACTGTGGTGCCTCATTGTCCGAGGCGGGAATTGATACATGACCACCACCTGGAGGATCAATTTTCGGGGACCTCGGCAGGCGGTGGATCTGGATATATTCTGGTCCCCGGGGGCCCAAATATATCCATATCCACCGCCCGCTAGGGCTCCAGGACGTCGGTTCCCGGGCGGTGGATATTGATAAGCCCCCGCCTCGCACATTGGGGTAATATTCTTTTTCGCCCACTCCAGCGCTGCCGCCGGCGCTGCGTCGGGGGCGGCCGACGGCGCTGAAGGCGCCCGGGTCCCCGCCGCCTCTCTGCCATGGCTCTCGGGGCTGCTGCCGTGTGCGCCGCTGCCGCTCCTGCAGAGGGCGCCGCTGGGGCCTCGCGCCAGAGGGGCCCGGCGCCCTGCCGGCCTCGTGGAGTTTCCGTCGCGGCTCCCGGAGGACGGCATCGGGCGGGGCTGGGACTTTTTGGAGTCTGCGGGCGCCAAGTAGCCCAAGGCAGTCAGGCGCTGGTCAGCGAGCGTTGGGATGCACCCGGAGCGAATCGGGGCACTGAGGCGATCAGGACGGTGGCGACCACGCCGCGGTCGTTCAACGTTGGATGCCTCCAGCGACCCAGCATCGGTCGATGTTGAACGATCTGACGTTTTGGAAACGGCCGATCGTTCGAGGTTGTCTGATCCCCGCGATGTCAGAAACCAACGCCGAAGTCAGCACGACACGAACCTACCGCAAGTCGTTCGCGAGAGCGCTCTGGAACGCCCTCAGAGCCTTCTTGAACGCTCTGAGAAGGCCGCGACGCCCGATACATCCTCCAGAGCCGCTGGATCTCAGAGATCCCCGACTTCTCCTGGTCCGATCTTGTCTCTGTCCTGGCTCCGTCTTACGGGAAGGAATAGCGCCTTCGCTTGGGGGCTCCTAGTTCTGCAGCGGGCCTCGTGGCTGGGAGTCCTGTCCGGAGCGATGCCGCCCCCCTGGCCCAGCTTCTCCTGAAGATGGGGCGCACCCAGTGGGTGGGGCCCACAGTTTCAGGCCGTTTCTGTACGCCCCAGGTCCCAGGCTTCCGCTGAACGTGAGGGGCACATCCGGCGATGCTGGAGGTGTGACGCCAGTCGGTAGTACTGAGCGCAGCGAGACGAGCCATCGTCGCTAATCATTTTCCCCCTGACAGGCGCGACCCGTACGTCCATCGTCCATACGACCTGGCTGCGGGAATTCGTTCAATCCTGCGATTGCAGCCCGAACGGCTCTGGCCATTTCCCGCTTCATCAGGATTTGTTTCATGTTTGCATTTGTTGTCGTGTGTTGTCATGGTGTCTTTTGCCTTGAGTAAGGGAATGTATCCTTGTGATAATACACGGCAGTGCTTTTTCATGTGTCGATGTTTAGTCCAGTTATAATATTATAGCGTGAATTCCAGCTCATGCTGATGCTGTGCGATGATAGGACTATGGTGATGCTCATGTGGTAAGGCCCTTACACGACGTTGGTGATGTGATATGGAGCTCCTTGTGAACGTTTTTCTTAGACTAGCAATCTTATTTACCTGATCAATCTTGGCCAGTAGGTTGCGAACAGTGATAGCAAGGCACAACAAGCTCTCTGCGAAGACTTGGTGCATCGTATTGGCTTCGGCCGTCTGTTCCAGAGCTCAGTGCCACGACGGTGTGGTCACCGCCTCCACGAGCGACGGTGGATTGTGACCCTATTGATAGGTTCTGAGCGTTGCACTTGCCTCGAACGTTTTTGCTTAGCGCTACTGAGGATCCGTTGTCTCGGATGAGGGTGGCGTAAAAGTTTCCCGTGCCACTCGCCGTAGTGATTAGAGCGTTCTCTCCAGATCAGATCGTTGTGCGCCGCCCCTTCAGCCACGGAGCATGTGGAATTCTCAATTGAAGATCGTGCACGTCAGATTGCTTGGCATCCTCCACGCCGAAGGGAAAACCTGGAACCCCCGCTCTTAACCAGCGAGATGTACCTGGACCTTGCGGCTGCGTCAACATCCTGAACTCCCGCTCGGTATTCTGGCGCGTCTCACTAATTCTTGACGCTTCGCGTATCCCCGCCAGTCCCGGAGCGGACGCAGCCCGTCCGCTCTCTGGGTCTTCCGCGCGGCCCTCATCTACGCGAAGGTTGGTTGCAGTTTTCGCGGACCTGGAGGTCGTTGTCTCCGTGACGGTCTACATCGCCCGTGCCGTCGGGTGCCTTCGCTCTCCCTGGGAGTGGTCCTGGTGTGGCCGTTGCCTGGATGTCGTGGTGTTCTCCTTGGTCCTCTCCGACGTGGAGGTCGTCATTCACCCACACGGGGCCTGGAGGTCGTTCCCTCTCGGCATCGTCATATTCTTCTTGTGCAAGGACCACGTGTTCGGCAAGTTTGCCAGGGGCCTTGGGTTCCCCACCTTCGTCAGCGCCTTCCTGGGTAAGTGTGGCGCTCGGTTTATCTTTCGCCGTCTTCGTGTACACCTGCCTTGTCTTCTCCATCGGCACCTTCCCCGCGTTCCTGGTGCCTTGCGTCGCCTTCGCGCCATTTTGGCCACCTGATTTCCGCCCCGCACCCGGCTTTGCTTTTTGCTTGTTTCCCGCAGCTGGTGGCGTAGCTTGCCCCTGCCAGCCTGGCGTTCGACCCGTTTCGCGCGCCCGCGTGCCAAAACGTACCCATCCAGTCTATCCAGAAACGATGGTCAGACAAATTGCCCTGGTCAGGGAAATCTAGAAACGTCTAATGGAACAGACAGGTCAGTCAGCCGTTGAGCCCACGTTCGGAGTCGGCCTGATAGTGCCCAGGGGTGGAATTGCTGAGCCAGCCGTCGAGGAGGGACGAGGAGGCGGATGTAGAGGAGAAAGTGCAGAAGGAGGAAGGAGAGGAGGGAAACTGATGAAGAGGGAGGTGGGAGGAGGATGCGGAGGAGGAGGAGGAGATGGAGGAGGAGGAGGCGGAGGAGGAGGAGGAGGAGGAGGGAGGAGGAGGAGGAGGAGGATGAGGAGTCGGAGGAGGAGTCGGAGGAGGAGGAGGAGTCGGAGGAGGAGAGGGAGGAGGAGGAGTCGGAGAAGGAGGAAGAGGAGGAGGAGCAGGGGGGAGGAGGAGGAGGGAGGAGGAGGAGGAGGAGGAGGAGGAGGAGGAGGGGGAGGACGAGGAATGGGAGGAGGAATACGAAAAGGAATATGAGGAGCAGGCGCGGGAGGAGGAGGAGGAGGAGGAGGAGGAGGAGGAGGACGAGGAGGGGGAAGAGGAGGAGGAGGAGGATTTCCAGGATTTCCGCCATCATGTAGTGATATAAGCATGCTAACTCAGGCTTTGGGAAACAGGTCGCGAGAGATACGATCTAAATACTCGCGCCTGGCCTTGGTGATCGACTGTGGGCGGCACGGATTCCCTAGCCCTCTGAGCTGGGCCTGACAGAAAAATCCGCAAGCGCCGCAAAACCACAAACCAAGGTCTTTGTGACAATGCATGGAGTGCGGGGTGCGTCCAACCTCCAGCCAAGTGTAAATTCCGCCCAGGGGGGGGGGGGGGCGAGCTAATTTAGAGCTGACTTGGAGCAAAGGGAAGCACTCACTTTTTAGCCATTCCTTCTCCGTGGCCAGGGTCGCTGAACTACGGCACACTGAGCACGACCTGCCATTTTCGGTCAGGGTGTGGGCAGACGCGAAGCGTCCTATAGCCTTCGGATGCGGAGGGGCGAGACGGGCGTGCGAGGCCATCGGGGTCCCCTCCTGCTCCTGAGAGGCGCAGATGGACTCTAGGGCGATGCGGAGCAGCCGGCGACGTACTAAGCGGGCTTTACGCTCAGTCTCAAGAGCACGGAAACGCTCGGTCTCTGGGACCCTGGCCTGGGTGGCGGCCTTACCCGCGAGGACGTCCACGCAAGCATTGCCCTGGATAAGCCAGGACGGCCATCCTTGGGCCACGACTTCTCTACCCTCGAGGTGAGCCGGCACTTGCAAAACTGACACGAAGTGTGGTGGCCTCGACTGCGCACGCAACAGGGAACCTATAGCACGCCATATGTCAGCCTGCGGCCCTGCTGGTGCCTCGCACGCTCTGTCGTACCACCCTCGGGCCACCTCAGCACAGTCTGTAACGTACACGAGCCAACCTTCTGAAAACCTGAGAGACCATTCGAAACTCAAAAGTTCCCCCCGCGGCACCGTCTGCGAGTGGCCTGGGAGGGGGCCTGTAACGTGAGGCCCTAAAACGCACGGTGAGAAAGACTGGAACGCTGCTACGGCCAATCCTACTCTTCTGAGCCTGGGATCGTGGGTGCCCTTTCCTCCTGAGGCGTCTCCAAAAAGGGTGACAGGGCAATCTGCGCTCCCAATCCCCAGACACCCAGGCCCGATGGAACCTCCAATCAACGAGTTCCCGAGAAAGACTTCGGAGGAGGGAGGGGGGACACGGCTGTCCAAGCAGCAGGGATGATGCCTCTCATCCAAAAAACAGGAAACGTGTCCTGCTCAGCTAGAGCTTCTGGGACCAGCTCATCTGACAGGGCAAAGGCGGGCGAGTCTCTATTTTTGCTGCAGGTCCAGCACCTGTGCACTGGAGTATCTGTAGCCTCCTGGCAACGGAGGCAGAGGCCGCTGTCGGCGAGCTTCTCGTCGTACTTCCTATGCTGCGTCCAGAAACCTCCTGTAGCAACCGTGACCATGAGCTCGGATAGCTGTCGTCCCCGATGAGCTTGCTGCAGCGCTGAGATGTACTGCCTGTAGCTCAGGAGGTCGGCGCCGTACTCGAGCCCTGCCCCGCAATGCTGCTGAGCTGCCTCGCTCCATAGTTGAGCACTGAGGGTGGCCTCGAGCTCATCTAGCAGCGGCTGCGCCTGGTCCAGGCCGACGAACGCCTCATCGTGGAAATGCCACGTGTGAGTGTCCCCCGTCCTGTCATTCGGTACCTGCCACGCTGTAGCTGAGTCCGCTGTCCATCCCGCCTGCATCAGGTAGAGCATGACCGACGACATCGGGCCCCTCACGTGCCTGCTCCGTTGCCCTTCGGGGATGTCCCGGAGGGTCTGGTACGCTTGGGGCCAAACTTTGATGATGGAACGTCGAATATCCGATCGTCCGAGCCAAGCCTCAAACCACCGCTGTAAACATAGCCTCGGGAGGGCTGTCCCAGGGTCGGCCCCAGGGAGCCGCAAAGCGAGGAGGGTCGTTAAACGCCTCCCACGCTTGCTGGAACCTGCCGCTGCCCCGAGGCGTCGACGGTGCGTGAGCATGACGCTGCCGAAGCACCCGTGGATCTGGTGCCCGTAGGCCGCCGCCGCCTGCGGGCCAGCTCGCTGGATCTGG